CCATGGGAAAATATCCCAGATTTTCCTCAAAATAACTTCCCAGGAGGAACAATTCCATCCCTGGAGCCTCGGGGAGGATGGAGACGGGGATCCCAGGGGACAATATCCCAAACTGCCCCCAGACCTCCTTCCCGAGGGGAACGACGCCATCCCCAGGCCCTCGGCGCGGAAATCCCGTGGGATCAGCGATTCCCGCTGACCCGCGAGGACCCCCGGCTCCGCGAATTTGGGTTAAAAGAGCCCCAAAGGCGGGTGTGGAGCAGCCTGCGTGACTCCCGGCCGCTCCTGCCGTGGAAAAGCTCCGGCTAAGCCCCTCTTAGCCTGAATTCCGCGCTTCCCGGGGAATTCCCGAGCCTGCGGAGCGTGGCGAGGCCAGGGCCGGCTGCCGAGGCTCTGCCGCTCTCCCGAGCTTCACATTTTCAAGGAGTGGGTTTCGGGGTGGGTTTTTTTTTTTGTGTGTGTGTGTGAAATTAAAATCCGAGAGGTTTTAAATTAAAATCCATTCCGCAGCCCAGCGGCGCGGCCTCGCTGCGGCGTCGTTCCCGAGGCCGGAGCGGGGCCGGGGGGCTCGGGGGGCTACACGGAGCTGCGGCGCTTGGCCAGGGCCGGGAACGCGGCCAGGCTCTGGAGGCCGGTGGACACGGAGCTGACGGCGGAGCGCCGGGAGCGGCAGAAGCAGCGGTGCTCCGGCGTCTCGGGGCAGCGGGCGGGCGAGGAGCGGCTGCGCTCCACGCCCGCGTCCGAGCTGGACGAATCCCTGGGAATGATCATGGGGATGGAATACTGCAGCTTCTCGCGGCTCTTGTACCACAGGCACGAGCACACCGACTGGAAGTGCAGCACCTCGGCGTACACGTTCCTGAAGCCGCTCTCGGCCGGGGCCGCCGCGGTCGCCTCGGGCACGGCGGCGGGGGCGCACCGAGCGCCCCGGCCGAGCAGCGCCCGCTGCTCGGCGTCGCGCCGCTCGTCCTCGGCGTTCATGGTCATGAAGCGCAGCACCACGAGGTTGAGGAAGGCGCCGATGACCGTCAGCCCCGCGAGGATGTAGACGAAGCTGAAGGCCACGTACTGCGGCTGGGTCTGCAGCGCCTGGTCCTTCTGCAGCGCCACGTAGTCGCCGAAGCCGATGGTGGTCAGCGTGATGAAGCAGTAGTAGTAGGCCTGGAAGAAGCTCCAGTTCTCGTAGTGCGAGAAGGCGGCGGCGCCGATGCAGAGCGTGCTGACGCAGGAGAAGAAGCCGATGGTCACCATGTTGGCCATGGACACCTCCGGCCGCCGCATGCCCAGGCGCTTCTTGAGGCGGCGCAGCAGCGAGCGCACCAGCGTGTTGATGCGCTCGCCCAGGCTCTGGAACATCACCAGGGTCAGGGGGATGCCCAGCAGCGCGTAGAGCATGCAGAAAACCTTCCCGCCGTCCGTGCTGGGCGCTGCGTGCCCGTAGCCTGCGGGGCAGAGGGGCACGGGCTGGGGTCCGCCATCCCGCGGGATTCCCGCAGGGAATCGGGAGCGGGGAGCACGGGACGGCTCCGGGGTGCCCAAGGGGGTTGGGGGGCTCGGGAGCCCATCCCGTTCCGAGCTCAACGCATCCCGGAGCGCTCCGGCCTGGGCCTGGGCACTGCCAGGGGTTCTCTGGGAATCCCAGCCCAGCCGGGAATTCCTGCCCAAGGTCCCAAAATCCCAAGCTGCCCTTTCCCACTGGGAATTCCATTCCCTGGCTCCTGCCCCTCCAGCCCTTCCCCAAATTCCAGCTCTCCTTTCCCCCTGGAAAAGGCTCCAAGGATTCCCTGGATCCTTCCCCGATCCAGCTGCACATTCCCAGCTCTCCCAGCCTGGCATTGGATCCATCCCCACCCCGATTCCTCTCCGAGAAGGAGTTTTAGGAGTGAGGGGCTTCACTTGGGCTCTCAGGACTCCAGGGAGGGTCTCCCTTCCCTTTTCCATCCCCGAATTCCATAAAAATCCCTCTGGGCGGATTCTGAGCGTCCTTGATCCCGGGATCACGGGGTGGTTTGGGTGGGAAGGGACCTCAGATCCCATCCCGTTCCAACCCTGAGCACTCCCACCGCCCCGGGCTGCTCCAAGCTCCCTCCAGCCTTTCCCCGGACACTCCCAGGGCTCCAGGGGCAGCCACAGCTCCTTGGGAGCGCTGGGCCGACCTTTGGGTGGGGGCACCTTCCCCATCCCTGGGTTTGGGAAAACTCCCAAGATTCCCATCCCAGGCTCGCCGCAGATGGGGAAATTCGGGATTCTGGTGGTGTGTCCCTGTCACCCCCGTCCCCTGCCCCGGTGCCCCGTTCCTGCCCAACCCCGCCGGCAGCAGCTGCGCTCCCGTAATCCGCCGCCGCCGCCCGGGGATTTGGGATAAATCCCAATCCGCGCCCGCGGATGGATCCCGGGATGCCGCGGGCGGGGCCAGCGCTGCCCTGGATGGGGAGGCAGGAGCTGCTCCCGCTTCCTGTCCCTGTCCCTGTTCCTTTTCTCCTTTTTTCCTTTTTTCCTTTTTTCCTTTTCTCCTTTTTTCCTTTTTTCCTTTTTTCCTTTTTTCCTTTTCCTTTTCATTTTTTCCTTTTCCTTTTTTCCTTTTTTCCTTTTTTCCTTTTCCTTTTCCTTTTCCTTTTCCTTTTCCTTTTCCTTTTCCTTTTCCTTTTCCTTTTCCTTTTCCTTTTCCTTTTTTTCCTTTTCCTTTTCCATCCCTTTCCCTCTCCCTTTCCAATCCCTCTTCCTTCTCCTTTTCTTTCTTACTTTCCCATTCTCTTCTTTCTCTGTTTTTCCTTTTCCATAATTTCCTCCCTTTCTTCCTTTTTCTCCTTTTTCTTTCCCTTTCCCTCTTTTCCCTTTATCTTTCCATATAATTTTTCTTTCCTGTCCTCTTCTTCCTCTTCTTCCTTTTATCCTTTTACTTCTCCCTTTCCTTTTCCTTTTCCAATCCCTTCCTGATCACTTTTCCTTCTTTTTCTTACGTTCCCTTTCCTTCTCTTTCCTACTTTCCCCTCCTCTTCCTTTCTTTCTCATTTTCCTTCTTTTTCCTTCTTTCCCTCCTTTTCTTCCTTTCCCTTTTCCTCCTTCCCTTAATATTTTTCTTTCCCTTTCTCTTTTTTATTTCCCTTTCTCTTTTTTTCTTTCCCTTCCTCTTCTTCCTTCTCTTCTTCTTCTTTCTTTTTTCCTTTTAATTTTTCCTTTTCCTTTCCTTTTCCAATTCCTTTCCAATCACTTTTCCGTTCCTTCTCGTTCTTAGTTTCTTTTTCTTTCTCACTTTCCCATTTTCCTCATTTTCGTTTTTTTAAAACATTTTTCCTCTTTTCCTTCTTTTTCTTATCTTCCTTTTCCTTCTTTTTCCTATTTTCCCTTCCTCTTTCTTTCTCATTTTCCTCCTTTCCCTTCTTTCCCTCCTTTTCTTCCTTTCTCTTTTAATACTTTCTGTTTTCCTGTTTTGTTGGTTTTTTTTACCTTTCCTCCTTTTCCTTTCCTTTTCTTATTTTCCTTTCTCTTTTCCATTCCCTTTCCCAGGAAAACCAGGAGCGGGAAGGAAAGCTCTGAACTCGGAGCATTCCTGGGCCCTTTTTCCAAGGCCGATCCCAGCCGTGATCCCAGAGCCGTCCCCAGATCCTCCGGGAAGGCCGGGAGGAGCTCATCCTGTCCGGAATCCCAATTCCGAGTCCCCAGTCCCAATCCCGAGTCCCTAATCCCAGTCCCGAGTCCCTAATCCCAATCCAGAGTCCTTAATCCCAATACCAAGTCCCTAATCCTTATCCCATATTCCTAATCCCAGTCCTGAGTCCCTAATCCTGATCCCAAATCCCTAATCCCGGACCTGTGTCCCTAATCCAAATCCCATTTCCCTAATCTTGATCCCAAATCCCTAATCCCAATCCCGTGTCCCTAATCCCAATCCCAAATCCCTAATCCTGATCCTGAGTCCATAATCCTAATCCCGGGTATGTGATACCAATCCCATGTCCCTAATCCCGATCCTGACTCCATAATCCCGATCCCGAGTCCCTAATCCCAATCCTGACTCCATAATCCCGATCCCGAGTCCCTAATCCCAATCCNATCCTGACTCCATAATCCCGATCCCGAGTCCCTAATCCCAATCCTGACTCCATAATCCCGATCCCGAGTCCCTAATCCCAATCCCGACTCCATAATCCCGATCCCGAGTCCCTAATCCCAATCCTGACTCCATAATCCCGATCCCGAGTCCCTAATCCCGATCCTTACTCCATAATCCCGATCCCGAGTCCCTAATCCCAATCCTGACTCCACAATCCCGATCCTGTATCCCTGATCCCGATCCTGCTGCCCTCGGGGGAAAGCCGGGATCGCGGGATCTCCTGCAAGGAGAGGGGACGGGATCCGAGCCGTGGGATCCTCCCTGCCGGGGAGACGGGCATGGAATCGTTGGAGAGGGAATCCGTGGGGAGAGATTCCATGGGCGGGAATGGAGAGGGAATCCATGGAGAGGGAATCAAGGCAGAGAGGATTCATGGGAAGGAATCCATGGAGAGAGAATCCATGGAGTGGGAATTCATCAAGAAGGAATCCATGGACAGGGAATCCATGGAGAAGGAATCGATGGAGAGGGAATCGATGGAGAGGAATCCATGGGAGGGAATTGATGGGAGGGAAGAGATGGAGAGGGAATCCATGGGAGGGAATTGATGGGAGGGAAGAGATGGAGAGGGAATTCGTGTGGAGGGATCTATGGAGAGGGAATCCATGGGAGGGAATCCATGGAGAGGGAATGGAGAGGGAATCCATGGGAGGGAATCCATGGGAGGGAATCCATGGAGAGGGAATGGAGAGGGAATCCATGGGAGGGATCCATGAAGAGGGAATCCATGGGAGGGAATCCATGGGAGGGAATCCATGGAATGGAACCCATGGAGAGGGAATCCATGGAGAGGGAATGGAGAGGGAATCCATGGAGAGGGAGTCCGTGGAGAGGGAATCATGGGGGAGCGAGCAACACCTGAGAGTGGCACCTGAGACCCTGTCTGGAGAGCAAGGCCTGAGCATCACCAAAAATGATCATCAGAGCAGCACCTGGGAAACAGCTGGACAACACCTGGGAAACACCTGGGAGTCACCTGAGAAACACCTGGGAAACACCTGGGAAACACCTGGGAATCACCTGGGGAGCACCTGAGAAACACCTGGGAATCACCTGGGAATCACCTGAGAAACACCTGGGAATCACCTGGGAATCACCTGGGAATCACTTGGGGAGCACCTGAGAAACACCTGGGAATCACCTGGGGAGCACCTGGGGAGCACCTGGGGAGCACCTGGGGAGCACCTGGGAAACACCTGAGAATCACCTGGACAACACCTGGGAATCACCTGGGGAGCACCTGGGAATCACCTGGGAATCACCTGGGACACATCTCTGAAATACCTGGGAAACACCTGGGAAACACCTGAAAATCACCTGAGAAACACCTGGGAAACACCTGGGACACATCTGTGAAATACCTGGGGAACACCTGGGCAACACCTGGGAGCATCACCTGAGCATCACTGGAGAGCATCCCCTGAGATGTCACCTGAGCATCACCAGTGCATCACCTGAGAGCATCACCTGAGAGCATCCCCTGAACTTCACCTGGGGCCACCACATCAGAGCGTCACCAGAAAACATCACCTGAGCATCACCTGAGCATCACCTGAGCATCACTGGAACATCACCTGAGCATCACCTGAGCATCACTGGAACATCACCTGAGCAGCACCAGAACTTCAGCTGAGCATCACTGGAACATCACCTGAGCAGCACCTGAGTATCATCTGATCCACCCCTGCCCTGTGTGTCCCTTCCTACCCCTCGTGTCCCTCTCTCCTTGTCCCTCGTGTCCCTCTCTCCCTGTGTCCCTCGTGTCCCTCTCTCCCTGTCCCTCGTGTCCCTCTCTCCCTGTCCCTCGTGTCCCTCTCCCTGTCCCTCGTGTCCCTCTCTCCCTGTGTCCCTCTCCCTGTCCCTCGTGTCCCTCTCTCCCTGTGTCCCTCTCCCTGT